TACTACAAAACAAAATGAATTAGAGTTATGGTAAAAACAAAATAAAAAAATAAGTATAATATGCAAAATAAGAAAATAGAGTTATGGGTATCACAATAAAAATATTATAAAATACAAACAAAAAGATAGATTAAGGTAACATTAACATTAAACAAATAATAAAAGGTATGAATGTATAAAATTTAAAAGCATGTAAAACTAATATGGAAAAGAATAATAAATAAAATACATTAAATTAAAAAATTAATAAAAATATAATATTTAAAAGGTTGGGTTAATAAAGAAAGAAAGTAAATCGAATTAATATTTTAATCAATAAATCAATCATCATAAAAAAAATAAATTAAGAAGGAAATATATAAGAGAATAATTAAAACTAAATTTAAAAAGAAAATGAGGAAATTAAAGGGAAAAACAACATGGAAAAAGAGAGAGAAAACGTTATAATCCTGAAGGAAATAAATAAGGGAATAATTAAAATTAAATTTAAAAAGAAAATGGGGGAAATTCAAGGAGAAAAAAATATAGAAAAAAAATGGGGAAAACTAGAATTAAAAAGAAAATAATTTTAAAAAATAAGCGTAAAAACTTAAAATAAGTTAAGAGAAGTAAAAGTAAAATTGAAAATTTAATTCAAAAAGAAAAAAGCAACACAAATTTTTAAATAAAAAGAAAAACTATGAAAATAATTATATCCTACCCGTTAAAAAGGCATAAATCCTCTAGGGAGTCTAGATCAAGTCTTCGAATCATTTAATTAAGAAAAGAAATAAACATCCATAAAAAGTGAAAACAAAAAGTTAAATAAAAAAATAAAAAAATAAAATGAGGTAATCCTCCAATGGGTTTATTGGAAAGCCTTGGAAAAAATTAGGCCAGACGAAAATAGATGTCTGCAGTTGCCCCTCTTTATCCAATGGTGTGTTAACAACATCAAGGCAAAGCCAAAAGACGCAAATTTTCGTCTATTTTTCGAAATGGGTAAATTCTGAAAGCTTGTTAGACTTTTTTCGAACTTGATATCATTTATTGTGAAGTTGAAATCTGAGTCGAAGTATTAGATGACCACTCTATGAGTTGGATATCCTCTGTCGTCGAGTTAAAATCTGAATTTTGAGAAGGTGTGGCCAAAAAATGGCTTCTTGCTACTGAACAAAGACAAATTGTATTTGGTATCAAGTGCGCTTTCGAATCAAGTATCTTTCGTCGTGACAGTGAAACTTGACCTTGAAGACTAGAATCTAGTTCATCGTAGTTGGACTGTAGTTGATTATGAGTTGGTCTTCAAACCCAATATTCTCTATCACAGAGTTGAAATTGACTTCGAAAGTTTTGATCGGGAAACTGTTCCTTGTTGCTATCATACGATCAATGCGCTCTCCAATTGAATATCCTTCTTCGTGAAGTTGAAATTGAACTTGCAAGCTTTGGTTGACATATAGCTCTTTTCGACTTAAGCTATGAGGGGAGTGACCCCTCTGTCATGGGTTTGGTCTGGTATGATTTGAGCTCGATATCATTCGCCTTGAAGTTGAAATCTTTGCTCAAAATCTAGACTAGAAAGTAGTTCTTCGTTGCTAAATCACAGTCAATCTTGGGTCTTCTTCTAGACTTCAAGACCTCGGTCTGAAATTTGACTAAAAGGTGGTTTCTTGTTACTACCATACAATCAATGTGCTTTCGAGTTTAGTATCATTCGTTGTGAAATTGAAACTAAACTTGAAAGCTTTAATTGACAAATAACTTTTCTCGACTTAAGTTATGTTGTAAATGATTCATCCAAGTGAATGATGACTTCCCTTCACGGGCCTAAGGCAAACAAGACAATTCCCTTTCGCGGTTTAAGTCAGTCTTAAATCTTTGGATGACTCCCTTTGTGGGTCTAAGTCAAGTGATGCTCTTTCGTGGTTTAAGTCGGTATTGATAATTTAGATGACTCCTCTTCATAGGTCTAAGTCATGTGAAATATTTTAGAATGACTCATCTTCCCGGGAAAGCCAAGTGAGATATTTTTCAAATTACTCCCCTTCGCGAGAAAGCCTTGTGAGATATTCTTCCGATGAGTCCCCTTCGCAAGAAAGCCGTGTGAGATATTCTTTCAATGACTCCCCTTAATGGGAAAGCCATGTGAGTTATTCTTCTGACCAGATATTCTCTGTTGTGGAGTTGAAATATGGCTTGAAGTTTTCTTCAAAAGGATTTGACTTGAAGATGTCTCATCGCTTCTGAGCTAAGCCAAATTACAGTAAGTTCGGAATATGCTATTAGGTAAAGAATCTTTCGCCGTGAAGTTTAAACTTGACTCTAAAGCTGCAAAATTATGTATCCATGTAAAAATGATGAATGTGATGCTCTTAGATATGCTTAAGATGTATGTAAATGTATATCGTTGTTTTTTTTTATTTTTTATTTCCTGGAATGAGCCTCATTATTTGGCCTTCTTTGCAGATGCTCAGGAAAAACACAATTTGGAATCCATCACGGTTCATGACGTCAAATAAGGGAATTCTCTTGAGTGATAGAGGGTCTTGCATTTGCGACCTAATTCTGTGCGAGGAGTTAATCAAAGGGGCTAACAAGTTGGTATCATAATCCCTCGAGCTTATATGGATTTCATGCCAAACTCATGTCAAATTTGGAATACTTGTATTTTCCATAACCTTTTGTGCAATAATACATAATGATCTCTTTTCAAGGTGCCGAAATTACTCATACTATTTTCAATGCAAGTTGTGAAAAAAGGGGTTATGTATTATTTATATGAGTAAAAATAATTCATTGACAAATACATGACAAACATTTTGGAAAACAAAAACAATACAGATCGAATAGGTGCCTCACATATCAATGATACATATTTATTTGAACTGGCATGCTACCGAATGAATCGTGTGTCTTTTGTCGGAATGCCCTCGAAGCGTGCAAATCTCTTTCAAGATTATCAAATCCTTTAAGATTTTTTATGCCTTATTTGAATTCTTAATTGAATATGACGTTCTTACTGATGATGTCATATTGGTTTAGGCTCTTACGGTGCGTGAATCCTGAATCGATGCTCAAGCCTCATTTTGTGGGTTTTCAACTTGAGAACCCCATTGGTTTCAAGATGTTGTTTGTGGGTTTTCATCTTGAACCCTCCTTTATTACTTTTTTTCATTTTTCCAAATCATGCATTAAAGTTTTAGAAAAATTTTGGAAATGAAAGATTAACCCTGTCGTGCGGGATGAAATCTGAAGATATTCTCTTCCACTTAGAAATTCATGTATGATTAGAATGAACTTTTTAGGCACGTAATGCAGAATATGGCTCACGGCTATGAAAGAAATGGATATATATTCTCAAACAAGTGTTTAAGGGTGATTAAACCAAGGATCAATGTGTTCATTCATCTTTTGCTTAAATCTAATACATAGCATGTTTCTTCTTTCTTCTTTTGGAACCCTCTAGACCGCCCACTTGTAGGTTTTCACTCTAAAGATCATTTTCTTTAATAATCTTGATCTTTAAACCAACTTCAATTTACCATACCATCATTGTGGTTTGCAATCACTTCCTTCGTAGGAATCTTCACATGTGCCCCTTTCGTTTTCTTTACTTATTGAATTTGAAACTTCAATTTAATTCAGTCACAAGTTACTCCTCGTATTTGAAACATCTCTAATCATTCTTGATTTGATTTGAATGTTCAAACATATTGTCATATGGTAGTGCTTTGTTGTCGATTGTATTCATTTGAGTGAACATATTTTCTTTTCGCCTTGCCCCCTAGTGTGGGGATTGATCCTTGGTTAGGGTTAATTTCAAAGAAAGAAATGTTTTAGACTCAAATGGGGACCACAATGGATATTTCTTTTCTTTTGAGAAGAGATAAGAAAGTCGTTCATCATTTTATACATAAAAATCTTCGTGAAAGAGGTATCTTTAGGGGTAAAGATTTTGAATTTATCTTTTATTTATTGAAAAAGTGTTCATTAATACATGATGATTCTTCGATTTGATTTTTTTGTCTAATTATTTTAAATGCGTCCCCTAGGGACGAATGCACTCAGCTCCCATAATAGTCAAATATATTCTTATTATTTTGGAAAAATGATTAAATTTAATTTAATGTATTAAGGGGGAAAATTAAAAAATTACGTAACGATTATTTAAAAAAAATGAAAATCTTAGATTTCTTTTCTTAATTTTTTGAAACTGTCATCAACATCTCTTACCATAAATTCCTTCATCCGCACCTTGACTAAAGTTCCTATCAATCCTCAACTCCGATACGTGTCTTATCATCCTTCGCATCTCCAAGTGGTCCTATGGACATGTCGACATTGGCATATGGCCCGTAATTTACTCGCTGCTATTTGGTGCCATTTTCTCAGTGTGCGGAGGCCATTGCATTCATTAGCCGGCTAGAACTGCACAGTGGACACTGCCAAAGGAACCAAATTACAGTCTAAAGATACGTTTTTTATTTGAAAAGACTTGGATTTAAATTCACACATACTTATAAATTATGTTGCTTGAATTTGAAACATCTAAAGAAAATAAAATTCACTTAACAACTCGAATCACTCAGAAGGTTTCAACCAAAAGATATTTACATGTCTATAGAATTACTCGGACCACTCAAAAGATTTCAACCAAAAGATATTTACATGTCTATAGAGCAGGTATCAAGTGTCATACCTTGGAATCTCACTTAGAAATCTCACATTAAAGAGAAAAAGATAAATATTTTAATTTAAAAGCGATAACGTGATACATTTTATTAGATATATCTTTTGAAAAGAAGATAATGAACTTATGAAAAATAATATCATATCCTTTGATTCCTCAATTTCACGTCAAACGTCCCAGTGAGTATAATAAACAAAATGTTGAGACTAAAAAAATAAATTCTCGTAACGTGTTTCAGACATATCTTTTAAAAAGATAATAATAGTATCGTCATATAAGGCATATGTTTGATTGATTATATGATGGCATTGGAGTATTATATGTATTCATTGCATTAGTAACTTTGTAACATAATAATAGGCATGTTACTCTTAGCATTATCATTTTCAATAGCGTATACATACAATAACTACGATAGTAATATTCATGTACGTATCTTTTCATCTTCAAGAATTTCAACAACCTTTCGTCAGCTCACTAGAAACCATCACAAAGTTCATAACAACAATTGACACACTCGAAGCAAGCGAGAGCGGTGCAGATTTGTGACAAAACGATCGCGCATTGGTTATTCATACACGAACAAGCTTGGATGAAGCACATGCAACAGCATCGATCAAGCAGCATGCTGCAGAAATTGGAAGCAGCATTAACCAAAATATCTGCTCCTTCTGGTGACTTGGGTTCCTCGATACCCGAAGGGGTATTCTTAGCCGTGGCAGTCAAGTTACCAAAGCCAACACCCAGGCATCCCAGTAAAATTATCTTCTGACCATTCGGATCTCCCTTGCTTGGCAGCTTTATTTTGTTAAATATCTGGTTAAACTTAAAGAAACTAAGTGAGCACAGAGAGATTCATTTTCAGCTTAACTTATATAGCAAGCAACCTCAAAAAGAGTAGTAAAATTATCATCCACTCTATTGTTCTATCAGAAAGTATCACCGAGTCTCGGAAAACAAATGAACTCCGAATTGTCATCCAGAGTGATTATGCATAGCATCAGGCAAGTAATTCACTATCTGTAAAGGATACATACCTCACTTACTACATTCGATTCTGGTACTTTGTTCCCACTATCAGTCTGAAGTAAAACCAGGCGGGTATACTCGGATGGAAAACTTGTGTGTAGACTTATTTTGGCAACCTGCACCAGAAACAGCACAAAAAAATGGCCCCAAGGAACGATTACCAAATAAAGCTTTAATAATTTCAGAAAACTGCATGCATTCGTAAGGGTGTCAATGTGACCAAAACATAGACCTGATTATGCCAGCCAGATGTGATTGCAGACCAACCAAACAATAGTTTGGCTTTCAGCCAAACTATACCTAAATATGCCAGACGAAATATACCTTGAGCCAGCACAATGTGTTAAGGTGAAGCGAAGTTTCGGAAAAGTTACCTTCTCTTCAAGCTCTTTATTCTCGGACAACCAAGCATGACACGTAATGATATCGATTTGCCTCCTTGTGAGTATCTGACAACATAATAATTAGAAATGTAGATGCATCAATAACCAATCTTCTATGTGCATTATAGGGGGATAAACCACTGGCTCAAAATTTAATTGCCGAACTAGGACTTTAAAGGAATAGATTTGTTCCCTCGATATCGTTTAAACAATTCTGAAGTGGATTTAATCATATCATTGGAATGCATATTAAGGATGTAAGAAAATTTAAAGGGCGAGTTTCATGCAAACAGGTCATTCAAAGCAAGCAGGGGTGAAAGGCAGACTTGTTAAAGGCACAAAGAAGAAGAAACTCTTTATTAAAAAGAAATGCTTTCTTCTTGAATTTAACTACTGTTGTGGTAAACAAAAAGATATGAACAAATTGTCCAGTATAACCCGCGAAATTAACCCCTGGGAGTAGAAAATTTACTCTATCAAAAGGCACGTCCTTTGCATGTTGCACTTTCAAGTCGGTTTGAAATGTGCTCATGTCTTCCAACATTCCATTAACTTTAATAACATCTGGAAATTCTCCTTTGTATCTGCCCGATACAAATAAAGGACTTCCAAGAGAGAGGTCCGGAATATGTGATGGAAACAACTGCAAGATAAAAAATGAGTAAGATATCTTGTTAACATGACTAAGAGGATAGTAGATCTGGACAAGCTCTCATCGTAAAATATTCGGTAAAATCGAGAAAACCATATAGCAGCTTCTTTGACAAAGAAAATGATCCGGGAAATCTGCAAAAAAACTCTGATGTACCTCAACAGAACCAAGATGTTGAGGCATGTCCAAGGTTATATTGGCTAGAACAACTGAAGAAGCTGTAGTAAATAATCTCTCCATTTGTGATTCAATATTGTCTGGCCAATACAGGTCAAATCAGAATGAATACCACCAGAATCCCTTATTATACCAAATTTCGAATCGATAACAAAAGCTTACAGCACCATACTGTTCCATAATAGTTTAGCATCGACTTTCCTAATGTGTCCTTCAACTAGACTACAATTTATTTCATATAAGCTTGGAAGAATTAGAAAGAAACTAACCCACATCATAAGCGTAATCGTAATGGCCTCTCCCAATTTGAGCTAGCATTTGCAAGAAGTAATTATTGCAATACAAACCTAGAGAAAGATTCAAAAACAAAAACGAGTAATAACATTGCAAGAATGCGGTAGACAAACAAATATGGCTCAGCTAGGCTGATAAATTATTGAAAGAGTTGTTGATAAATTCATCGGTCGTATTGACACCATAAAAGGAAAACTGAGGTAGTCAAATTATGTATCTACTTGCAGAAGAGAAAGATAATTTCCTGCACCACAATCTGAGATTTAAGGCACTCAGAAAATATAAAGACAATTTGTAGTACAAACAAGAACTATTAAGTTCAGATTTTAGATTTCCCAGAAAGAAGGCATTATGCTAAAGTTGCATGAAAAACAGGGAAAGAACTTCGGAACACCTAAAAACTCACCAATGCCAAAAGTACATAGACGAGGAGAAACAGATCCTGTACTTGTCAAATAACCTTTCATGACATTGCAGATCTCCCTCTCATCTTCAACAGATCCATCAGTTATAAGGAAAATAAGCGGAATCGAATCACTTGTGTCAGACAACAACTTCATTGCCTACAATAAAACATAATTAGATGATGAAACTCTACTATGAGTCATTAAACAGTTAATAATTTAAAGATCTCAAAGCTAGACTTGTTAATGCTTACCTGGGAATTGATCAGTCGAGAAATGCTGATAAAAATTAGTACCTGTTTAAGGGCAAGCATGATATTTGTACCGCCATCTGCGGTTAAATTACTACTAAGCCAATGAGTAGCCTTTAGGATTGATCCATGAGTAGCAGGCACCATTGTTGACGAGAACAAGTGAACCTCGCTATTGAAAGTGATAATGTTAAAAGAATCTTGTGCATTGAGCTTAGAAAGTGATGCCGATAATGAATTCTTTACGTTCTCAATCGGGCATCCTAGCATACTTTCACTTATGTCAACAACGAAAACCACTTCTCTTCTGAATACCTATCAGATTCACCTCATGGTATATAAGAATAGATGAAATAATATAAAGCACATTGCTTTAACCCATCTAAAAGAGAAAACATCCCTAGAAAAAGACTTTTCGGAATATTAAACTGTTGATAAGTTATTGTTTCAACTAACCTTCCTGTTCTGGTCATTTCCAGGAAAAATATAAAATAAGAACATCTCCCTTTCATCAAAATCATGCAATGGTGGAGATTGCAAGAGAACCTGACCGAAAATGTCACTCGAAGAAACCTGTAAAGGCGGCAGCAGTCAAACAGGACGACTTAATCATGATCATTACTTGCATTATGAACCTCGGAAGTCCGAAATAAGCTTTTCAATAAAATGGTCAGTTCTCAAAAGATCTTACCGTATAGGCAAATTTCAGGTCGATAGTTGACCATGCTGATACTTCTGCTTCGTATATGAAACTTAATTTACGAACATCCCGACTTAGCTCCTAGAAAGTTATAAGAACATATCATTTCCTCCAGATCTCAGAAGCCTGATATTATTCTGAGATTGTCATACCTTTAAAGGGTGGCTACTACATTTGATCAAAAGTTCTGTCCGGGTACAAAAATTAACATTCAATTGAATCTTCTCTCTCTTCGGGATTTTCTTCCCAGCAGGAATGACATATGCCGGAAAACTAAACGGTACATTAAGGCAATACTGACCATCTTGGTAGGATAACTTCTGTGACCATCTGACTTTAACCGATATATTAGACCCTCCATCAACCTAACACATGTTAAGAGAGTACGAAAAGGGATTTGAGATTCGAGTCTTAGCTCAGTTTGTTAATGCAAAATCACCATTAAGATGTAGTATCCAATGGATTCGGGATTCGAATGTCAGCGTTTATAATACAATGGGATTAAACAAAAAAAAAGTAATTACTTGTGGAATTCTGAAAGTATATATATCATGCGCCAGGAAGTATCCATATCCAGATTTCACAGTTTGTCCCGTCTCTTCGGAATCGGCAAACGTGATCCACGTTGAGTTATAAGACCTCTCAGTCTCAGAGACATTAACCTCAACACCTAGAAGTGAACCCTGTTAGCCACACCATGTTTATCTTGAGAATTTATGAACCAAAGGTCACATCAAATTTTTCAAAAGAAAAATAAAGTTGTCACTATCTGGTGTATATATATATGGCCACGGTGAATCTTCACTCATCATAATCAGACAAGAAAGATTAAGGAACAGGCAAAAAGTAGCTGCATATTGTTTTCTAAAGTAAGATTCTTGGAGAAAATGACCAAATTCAGAGGCCAATTTTTTCTTTGCTTCCATTATTGCTAATCAAACGAATTGGCCCACACTAGGGAAATAGAAATTTTTGTAAAGATCAAAATAATCATTGTTTCAGCAACAAAACTCTCCACTTGATTATAATGTAAACAACATTAGTAAAGTTAAAGTATTACTAAAACCATTTTTTAAAATAAATAATAATGACTTTTTACTTTAAACTTTAAAGTTACCTGCTGTCCCATCGGAATACCAATTCGGCAATCACATCTCCGACCGGCGGCTATACAGTGAACGCGCCACGCGCCGCTGAAAGTAACGAAGGCGGTATCCATACAACAGTCCACCTCCATGGAAACCTCGTACATGTGTAACGGAATCAACGCCGGCGGGTCGCACCGACCGTGCACGTACGGCTGGTAGCTAGGGACGTCGGGGTTATCCACCATGGCTGGCTCGGGAACTACCGCGTACGCCATCACCGCCGTCGGAAGGTAACTATCGATCGTCGTCGTCGATGACAACGACTTCGACATTGCCGCCGGCGCCGGTGAAGCACCTTTGCCGTAGTAAAGGCGCTTTGACAACATGAGGCCACAAGTGACCGACGCCGAGAATTCGCGGGCCATGATCTTGTTGGTGTTTGGATTTTTTCTTCTCCGGTTAGTTTATAGAAGCTGAAAGAAAACTCTTTTCGCTGGCGAGTGCTTAATGAAGAAGAAAAGTGGAAAGCTGTTGTCGTTTTTAAAATGCAGTTATAAAAAGGGTAAAGTATAGTAATAGTCACTAAACTTTTCTAAAACTTACATTTAGGTCTTCAACTTTTAAAACTTGCAATACAGTCCTCCAACATTTAGTCGTTTGCAATATGGTCCCCGCCGTTTGACGCCATTACACTGCAGTTAGTCTGTTTGCAATATGGTCACTGAAATTTTTAGTTCTTGCATTTAGGTCCCTCAACTTTTAAAACTTGCAACACAATCCTTAATTTCATTTTAAACCCCAAATTCCAAAATAATTCAATTTATTTTAAACCCTAAAGTCTAAAATACTTTAATTTAGGGTTTAGAATATAATTAAAGTATTTTGGAATTTGGGGTTTAGAATATAATTGAAGTGTTTTGGAATTTTGAACATGAATTTGCTATTTGATAGTGTTTACTTCAATATAAATTTGAGGTTTATTACATGCACATCCAACGGCTGCCGCACTTTGAACATGAAAAGTGCACCTATCACAATTTTAAATATCTTGTTTGTAGTTGACGTACATTGGTATGACAATCCAATAGGTTTGGATGGAACTTGAGCATGCACATCCAACGGCTGCGAAAATAGTAAAGAGTTTTAGTTCATAAGACTACAACATACAACCAAGCAATAACTAAAATAAACCAAGAATATCAATTAATAACTCATTCAAAAGGAGGACTTAATAAATAAAAGGAAAGAGGTTCGGTCATAGTCACTCCAAAAGCTATGGCGTCAAATGGGTTGTTTAAGATAGATATTAGATGCCAAATACAACATTACCAGTTGCAAATGCATTAATGACCTACCATTTTAACATATAATTGCTTCTAATGCTCCATGTTTAATGTTTCTCAATAGCCAAACATGATGAGAATCTAAAGCAGATAGCGGGACTAAAATCATAAGACCCCATAATTCTTGTAAATTCATGACATGTAAACTATAAAAGACATTGTAAAACATAGAGGACACTGCAACAAACATATATATGCCAGAAATGAATGTGCAAATGTGCAATTATCGGGCAACATATCAAGTAGTTGCTTCAAATATACTACCTTGTCATGATACCTTTTAAGTTGCATGCATGCAGAATTGTCTTCTAAAGTTATAATTCAATACATATTCAATTGTAAAATTTCCAAAACATGCAAAAAAATTCAATTCGTTCATGATATATCAGTCCCATAATCAACATGAACTTATTAAAAAGAATACGAGCTCACAGGACATCGAAAACCACAGGTCGGATCAATACAATTCCCAGTAAACTAGTATCAGCAGTCTCTTGGATTGAGCCTGGCGATTTTACTATGCCGATGCTCACAACCAATTCCCTGATTTAAAGAAAAACCAAACAAGAAGATCAAAAAAATTTAGCCTATGACCCTCTTTCACTTCTATTCTGATAGATTAAACATCTTTCATAAGGAGTACTAAAAGTTTTGATTAAGAAGAAAGAAATAAAATTATATGGTTTTGGTTCAAAACTAACACTGAATATCCAGATCCTTGACATGCAGTTCCAGAAACATAAAAATTTCAACAAAAAACACACAATGCGAGCTTAAAATGGGAAAGTGCGAAAGAGGAAAAGCTTACTTCCGGATAGGCCAAAAGAGAAAATAAATACCTTCTTGCAAGTGAGGGGAGAGGCTAAGAAATAAACGCAATCGGTGTTGTGTTTCAGCAATTCTTCCTCCATTTTTTCTTAAATAAAAAGTTGAAAGACAATACTTCTTGGGTTTACAATTTTACATGGCGGAAAACTGAAGAACAAAAACCAAACGATAGTGCATATGAGCGAAAGAGACTGAGAGGTGAAGGTGTTGTATGGGATTTCATTATATTTGATCATATGTTGAAAAATATTTAACCACAAGGACTAACGAAGAAATTATTATATGATATTTATACAAAATAATTTCAGCTTTGTTGGTGACTTTCAACAATGATACTTAGTTCATCTTAGTAGTATTTGTCAACTCTGTATTTCTAACCCCATTTTTTTCTCACAAGCATTTCATCGAACATCTATGCTTCACCTGAGATGACATATATCTAACATTACACCTTGAATCGTTGATGGTCCTGATAGTCCCTTGGTCGGGTCTTCTCTCAATGAACCTTTATTCAAGTCAACACCTCCACAGAATTCAAAGTTAGATTAGAATTTCTCATGCATCCCCGACTGAAAAGTTAGGCTGGAAATGAGAAGAAAGAAGCGAAAAAAGAAATTCGAGATCGAAAAGGAATTTGGGGTTTAGAATAAAATTGAGGATTGTGTTGCAAGTTTTAAAAGTTGGGGGACCTAAATATAAGTGCCTGAAAAGTTCAGTGATCATATTGCAAACGGACTAACGGTAGTGCAACGGCGTCAAACGGAGGGGACCATATTGTAAACGGACTAAAAATTGGAAGATTGTATTGCAAGTTTTAAAAATTGGGAGACTTCAATGCAGGATTTAAAAAAATTTAGTGATCATTACTATACTTTACCCTTATAAAAATTGGAAGCTGTGTGATTTCCATAAAAATTAATACTTTAAGCGGAAACCTAATCAATTATATGTGCCACGCGGCTTTCATTACATGAGGCATACAGATTTATTCCATTACATCTTTATCAAACTATAGATTAATTCGGATAATTTTATATTTTTATAAATAATAAAAGAATTAGAAAATTAATTAAATCATGAATTTTTAATTGACTCATATTAGTATGACAGTTTAAAAAGTTAGATAATATCTAAACCAAAATTATATTTAAATGCCCTTTTGATATTTTTATTTTATTTATTAATAATGTAATATATTATAGTTCATTAATAATACAGAGGTTTTATATATCAATAATACATTAAATATGAATTTCATTTATAATTATGACAGTAGTTACAACTTTAAAAATAATAATTCTTTAAAAAAAACACAAAGATTGCGATTAATGATGCATATTACTAAACAATCACAATCATTATTTTATACAAACAAATATTAAAAATATGCAAAGGTTATTTTATACAAAAAAAATTACCTTTTTTAAGTGTTTACTTTTTTTTTTTGAAAGAGGACATCTTGTATAGATTTATAAAGTAAGGCATAAAAAGACAACACAGTGAACGGGACCTTGTTAAACAACTTCTCTAATCTTAAATGGAGGAAAAAGAGTATCACAAACCAGTGCAAAGCGAAACACAAACATTATAAAAGGCCACTTCAATCACAATAACCAAAGGTGATATTATCCCAACCAAGGTTTCAAATCACGATTTGAAAACGTGATTTCGTCCACGAATTAGCGATTTCGTCATCGTCCGAGTTACCCGCTACATCCGCAATAGCGCTCGCGATGACCACAATCACGGTAAACCCAAAATAACTGAAAATGCGACCGCAATTTAAAACTCTGATCCCAACTAAGACGATAGGGTCAGATGACAATGTAGTTAGTTCAAATGCCAGTGGCGTAGGGTTTTATGACCCCTTATGGAGGATATTATATTTCTATGATTGTAGATCTAGCATAGGGTTCATATACTACTGATTTGGCGGGTGAATATGCACCACATACACAGACATCTCTGGCGCAGTTTTTGAACTCATCGATGTTGATGTTTTCGCAGTTTTCATAGTTTTCTATGAGTGGTGGGATAGTCAGCCATATACTTTCAAGGTCCTTATTCTATGGAGGTGTTATATCGTCGTCTGTCCCTCATCAACAAAATGTAGCTTCTCCTGATGATGATGATGATGGTGATGAGAGTAAGGAGGAAAACAAGTTTCATCGACACATACAACCACCGCCATGTTGAACACATTTAAGATGTAGACATCGATAGAGTAGTTTGCAATGTTTTTATTTAATTTTGTTTGCTTACCAATAATTGTAGAGTTTTTATTTAATTATAGAGTTTATTTATTTTATTTGTTAATGTTTTTATTATTTAATTGTTCAAATTGTATCGTTTGTATTTAATGTTTTTATTTAGTTGTTTTTATTGTTTGAATTATATCATTTTCTTTTATTTAGTTTGGAATGTTTTTATTAAATTTTCACTTGATTAGCCCATTACTTGGTGATGCTCAAATGACATTAATTGAAAGTAAATTTTAATTAAATAACACAAACTTAGATTTTATAAACAACTATTACATCATCACAACATCAACTGTTACTTGATTACAAAAGAGATGGACATTTTTTCCTATTGTGTCATAGGTTTCTATAATGCCCACGTCTTTTGTTTTCTCTGGACATCTCCCGAATATCCATATCACAATGAATTTAAGCGAATTTTAGACAATCGGGCTCCCTTAATAAGGACAGATCTGGTATAATTGAAAGCCAATTCTGAACCTCAACATGGTTTTTCTCATTACCTATAGAGGGAACTCAAATTTATATACCTTAAATATTTCTAAAAGTCAGTATACAGGATCCACAAAACGATTATAGTCATGACGGGTATGAGAGCAAGCTGCTATGACATAGAAGCATGGATACTTCAGAGCTTGGAAAAACCCACAGTCACACCACTTGTCTCGTAGATTAACTCTGAACGAGTTAGCTTGAATCCCTTGAAGAGGTCGTGGCATCTCTTTGACACGAAGTAATTCATGGGTTCTAGAGAATATTGTTATAAACATTCCATTTGATGCAGTAATTCTTTTTTTAGATCTGCAACTAATATTGGGTGATAGGTCCCCCGAGCTTAGAAAAAAAGGCTCCAAAATAAAAATACGTCATTTTAACCAAAACCGTTACTGATAAATGGTGTGCCCCCTTTAAGGTCGAATTGATAGCCTCAGCCAAGTTGGTCGTCATGTGTCCATATCGATATCCACCATCATAAGCATTTGTCCACATTTATTTGTTGATGAGGCTGATGTAATTGTCTTATTCATCGTTCTTTCCTCGCAAATCTTGAAG